ATTACATTATGCATTTGTGTGCTATAAAGGAAAAAGCATGAACACTGGAAAGTGTCAAAACCATGTTTTCCTCTTTGTTGATTCATTTTTTAAGTAATTAAATTTATTAGAAATAATAAAACACTGCTACCATTGTGAGAACATTACAAATAGGTCTACACCCAGGCATTAAGTAAAGTGTGCTTTACTCCTCAAATACACCTCCAATTTTTACATCAAGTTTTTATTTTAGGTAACAAAACACCGGTAAAGAGCAAATCTGAAAATCTTACATGCTTACCGTCTCTAGAAATAAAAGTACAGTAAGCAAGTTACTCTATCACAATACTGCCAGAGTGCCAAAGTAGTTGCTTCTGTCAATTCCATGCTTTATAAGAAAATCAGCTGTCATTTTACATTAGATTATGAATATGAAAAAATAATTTAATTGTGAAGAACTATTTCACATTAATCACATTTTAAAAACATCACTATGAAGAATCATTTTCTTCCTTGCATTAACTTTACCAAGTTAGTATTAAATAAATAGGGGTGATAAATACTGCAATAAACAGCAATTTACATACCATGTTTACTGGCAAAAGCTCTTAAGTAAGCTCTCCTCCTACTTTACACTGTCTTGTCAATAAATATAACCAAATTGTAAGTCAGTAACTTCACAACATTCTGAAGGTGGGATATTTTTTTAAACAGCATTATGAATGAAAGTGGAGTATTTGGCAGAAGATGTCCAAGTGGCACAGAATTCAGTGAGTCTACTCACATCTCAAGACAAGCACTTACCAGGAAAGTTTCAGAGCAAGGGAAAGGACACAAAACAAAGGAGTCAGATGCAGATTTTATTCCATTCCCTGCTACTGCTAACCTGCTAAGTGACTGCAGGAAAGCCTACGCTCCTTCACAGCTTTTCATCTCAGATGCCTAAAACTGGGAAAAAATTATTGTTCCTGATCTTGAGGTGTGTGATTACAGTATGGCTATGGCTTGTGTACTTCACCAAACAGGACAGAAGTACATAAATAAGGCAAGGTCTACAACCACCAATTATTAATAATATCACTATTATTGAGAAAATAATATGTGCTTTTTTCTTTTTCAAGCAATGCAAAACAGCAGCCCATCAAGCCATTTTTAAATTCAGAGTAATCCTTAGGCTGGTTCAGATACTACCATTTCCAAAACTACCCAAAACTGTAGGAGCCTTTTGTGAAATTCCCATGTCCACCAGGACCACACTCACCCTATCACTCTCAGACAGAAACACTGTATCATTACTGACCTTAAAAAAAAAAAAAACAAAAAACAAAACCAAAATAATAAAAAGGAAGTAAGTCCTAATAATCTTTTGACATGAAACTGAACAAAAAGGCTTCTGGCAATAAAACCCCAGGAAAGGGATGGTACAAGGAAAAGAAATAACATTATAGAAGTTAGAAGGATGACTTTAACCTATTTCTTCTCAACAATATTTTGAAATACATATGATAATAAGTTCAATCCAGCTTTATAGACCCCTAAATAATGAAAACATAAATTATTAAGTTTAAAGTAAGCTACAACAGTATCTAAACTGCTCTGAAAAACTTGAATCACTGATGAAAACTGTCCCAATATAGAGGTGCCATATGATTTAATGATACAGGGAAGTACTGTCACTCTCCATTTAGAAGTGACCAAGGGACAGAAGGCTATGCTTCTAAAAGTAAAGACCTCGGAAGCCATCAGCAGGCCAAAGCTGTGCTGCCAATTCCACTGGTGGCCACAGCAGGCCATCATCACAACAGGGCACAGGAAGTCCAACTTGGGTCCAAAATTTGGAAAGCAGTTTCTGGTTTTGACTACATCACTTGCCAGAGCTCACAGAGACAGCCTGCAACACACTCAAAAAATAAAATGCGAGTTTCACTTCAGCTCCTATTTTAATTTATAGTACCTTCCTCCAGCAAGGAACGCCTTCGGATAAAGAGGGGAATCTGAGCACTACACAAGCCATGTACTGCTGAAAGAGAAGCAGTGTCTCACCTCCCAGGCATCCAAATTTCACTGCAGGTGTATTCACAAACTTCACATCACAGCAGAGCCTTGCACACCACAGGTCTCACCAACCTTACCTGCACCTTTTCCACCACCACATGTGGTGGAAGAGCACCTCAGCCCAGCTCACCCAGTCAAGTTCTCCTCTCTCCACACCACTCTTTCCCCAGCTCTGTGCCAGAGGACTGCCCTGCCTAATGCCATGTTCATGAGCTCCAGAGACACTGCGCATCCTCAGCCATGAGTGGCAGCAACCTGGAAGAACTTTAAGCTCTGAATGCAAGCAATCATACCAGTGAATTTAACAAGACTTGTCATCTCCTTCAAGATATTCACATGCTTACAGGATTGCCAATTACAGAACCACTAATTTACGAACAAAGTGTATTAAGAGCGTTCCGGATGAACAGGAAAAACATTAGTTATAAAATAATGGCACGATTACCTCTGATATTTTATGTGGAAAACTGACATTTAATATCTTTAATTATTCACACAACAGCTCCGAAAGAGAAAGGTTTTCTTCCTTGAAGGGAAAAATAAACATGGACAAATTCCTCTCACCATCACTCCTACACTCCTTTCCTAAATAAACCTCCTGCAGAAGCCAATGGAAGTTTTGCAGGCAATGAGCTTACAGCAAGCAGCCCCCAAAAAACTCCAAAGGGTCAAGGGCAAGCGTCTTAAATACTCTGAGTTTACCTCCACACAAACCAGCTACGTTTCTGCTAAATTACATGCCTGCTTGACATGGTTTAGCAGCTTGCTGTGCCAAGAGGGACAGTAGTGTGCAACAAACTTTTGAGAGCTTGGGTCAATTTTTGAAACATCCACAAGGCCCCCTGCAAAGCAGCTCATCACTTTCTATCTTGTGACACACCAGCCCTGCATTGGCACTTGCCAAGCAAACCAGAACTCCAGTATGTCAGGACCAAATGACTAAAATCCAGCCATGAACAGTTACTTTAGTGAGAACTGTGTAACAAAAGAAATCTTCCCTTTTACCAAAACAAAAGCTCCCCAAAGCAAACAGAGATTTCCAGTCATGGACAAACTTAACAACATCTCTATTCTCACCTTAACTAGGTGCATTATTTTCATTGCCTTTTTTTTAAGCTATGTACTCTTATATTTTAAGCTATGTATTTCTTTTCTTCCTCTAAAGCTCCAATTATGCTTTTTTGGTAAAAATGATACCTTACCCTTTTCTCTGTTCAAGCCAGTTCAACATCAGGTGAGACATACATTTAGCACGATGCACAAAACCAAGGTCCACTTCTCTCCAAGTGTGGGAAGATTATGATCACCACTTCACTGCCAGATCAACATTCCATGCATCCAAAAGACTTCATAACAAAACTAAAACCAGATAATGACTCAAGACCTGAGTCAAGGTCTCTGAGCTATTCTTGTTCAGTATCCTTTACTATTACTTGAAATAAAGAAAATGTCCTTAGCACTTACAGTACTCTCATGTGACTCTTAAATGAAAACACAGAAAATTAAGTTCAGAAATCAGAACATTTGTATTCAGCCCTGATCAACATTTTGAAGCCTATCTGCCAGTTTTGAATTTCCACATGCATTTTTACTTAGGCAAAACTGTTGCAAAAATTACTCTTCACAGAACACAATCCTTGTCAGTAATGCTATAAAACCAAAAGCAATATTCTCCTATGCAACTAGTCTGTCACAAAAAAATTCAGTAATTGAGTTTGGTGTTGACACTCTGAGACCTGCACGTACTAACCACATCACATACAAAATCCAAAAACCTGGAATTTGAGTGTAAATCTGCAGGAACTGGAGAACAGCAGAATTCTCCCTTCAAACCAACTGCCCACAGTGGTTACCCCAGCCTCAACACTAGCTTTGTGGTTATAATATCATACCAGAACAGCTGCTCCCAACAGCCCCCTTCAAGTCAGCATGTTTGGGACCATCACTTATCCTATGTCTGCTATACACTGCCTGCAAAAGGTCAGGAGTATGTTATTAATCATTTGCATTTATGAGTACTAAGCTTACCCCAAATACATGTCCTGTCTTGCTTTTATTTATGTGCAGATAGTACCAAGACGATATGCTACCTCCCACTTCCCATTTTGGGCCAAATGCAGGTCAGTGACAGCATGGGCAATTGTAAGAGAAGTGCTCCAAATGCCACTCATTTTATGTCATTTTTAAATGTGACTCCAAAAATTCAGAACCTCTTTCTTCTTTAAACTACCACTTCCACTTCAGCTTAAAAGGTGTCAAACCCTTCAAAAGTTATCGTAACTTTTCCCAGCATGCAGATTAAAACAAATTGATGTGTACCTGAAAATGTAGGAATACCAGTAAATTAAGTAAGTAAGATACATATTTCAAATTGACTGGTATCTGCATTCATCAATGCCAAGAGCAGAAACAGTAACACAGAATGAGCATGGATGGAACTCTAATTAGCTCTCAGTTTACGTGTTAAAACTGAATGCACTCCTGTTGCATCAGCATTACAGTTCTGCTAAACTTGTCATTGATTCTTGACCTTCAGATTTTCTAATTACCTATTCAGTTTACATTCTCAAACTTTTATATCACTGAATTTTAAAAGGACTCATTACATTTTTGACCTGTGTGTTGCACTTTGCATATTCTAATGTTACTCTGGTCTAAAACTTCTGCCCTAAGTCAATCAGCTGGTTGTCTTTACAAAGTTTAAGGGAAAAAAACCACCACTAAAAAAAAAACAAGCGAAGAGAGCTCTGAATATGCACAACCTTTTAATTTCCAGGTTACTTGGAGGAACCCCTACATACAAACTTTGTATTCTAGCAGTAGCTATTAACACTTGGAGAAGACATGTTTTCTGAGGTGCTAAAACCAGAACAAGCATCTTCCTCATGTAAAGTGGCAGCACGAGGACCTCTATCTTATCAACAACAACCAAGTTCTTTTTTCATGTGTACAGTTCACATACTTACCCAGAAAGGCAAATGGAAATTACAGACCAACGAAGATGAAGCTGTCTCAAAGTCTTTGTCATGTGATAGTGACCTATAAAGTATCAAATAAAGGCACATCATCAGCACACCATGATTTTACAATATTGCACCTCACCACATCACCAACAAGAGGAGAGATCCCAAAACTTGAAACTTCCTTCCTCCTCACCCCCATCCCAGCTAAGCTGTCATCAAAACAAGATGACAGTCGCAGGAAACCGTAAGGAGCAAACAAAAGATGCACCGTGTCTTTAGAGGGCATTAGGAGTGGGCAAATGGAGCAAATCATCTGAGTGTGCATCAGCAGGGTGGGTTGTTCTTCCTCTGTGTCTCTCTCTCTCTCTCTCTCGGATGCATGTTTATGAGCACGCACAGACTCACATACATACACACAGAGATGCATCACGTAATTATTTACACGCACACACAGTAATACTCGCATGTACTATCAAAATAAAAGACAGAAAGTTGACCACCATCTGCAAGGAGGCATACATAACAAAAACCCCCGGGAACTTACACAAGTGAGCGATCAATCCCCGCGCGTGGATAAGCCAAACAACGCAAAAATTAACAAGAAGAATCAGCCGCCAGACCGCAGGTACGAGAACGACCAGGGGAAAGAGACAGACAGACAGAGCGACGGACGAAGGCTGCAAGGCTGGAGCACAGTTTCAGGTAATGCCCGGAGCGCTGCGGCCGCCCCGCCGCCCCTCCGCCACCGCAGCCCGCGGGGAGCGACCCCCGGCCGCCGCGGGGGGAGCGGCGCTCGCAGCCGCCGCCCGCCCTCCGCCCACCCTCGCCCGTGCAAAGTGTAGGGCCACCGGAATCCGGGCTCCGGGGTGGGGTGGAAAGAAAAGGTATTAAATATGGAGAAAGACCGCCGTGACCCAGGGTTTTCCCGTCTCCCCTCCTCGCCCCCCGCCCCCGGTCACCATCAAGTTTGCATCCTAGTTACAAAATGTCGATCTTGAAGGCTGACAAGACACAGGGAGAGGGGGAGAGAACGAGAGAGAGGGAGAGAGTGAGTGAGTGAGAGAGACGAGAGAGTCCATCTTGCTTTGAGGGGGGAGGAGAGGAGCAATAATGCAGCGCATAAATCTCACCCTCCCGGGGGAAAAGTCTGCACAACACCTTTGGGGGCGGGCGGGCGCGCAGGGAAGGGGCGGCGGCGCGGGGGGCTCCCCGGCCCTCCCAGCTGCCCTCCCCGGCGGGCTCCGGCGAGGCAGGCTGGCAGCAAACACCTCCCTGCTGCTCCCCTCCTCCTCCCCGCGGGCCCGGGCGATGATCCCGCTGCTGCCGCCGCCGCTGCCACCGGGGAGGAGGTGCCGCCGCCGGGAGAGCCCACATGGAGACCGGCACCCCGTCCCTGCCCCGGCGGCCGAGCCGGGCCCCTCCGCCGCCCCGCCGGGTTGCGGGACTTGGACGTGTCACCAGCAGGACGGGCAATGGTTTCGGCGCCCCAGGCCCGAGTGACCACCGCCGGCCTGGCGGCGCCCCGGCCTCCCCGCACACACTCACCTCCGCAGAAAACTTTTAACCGCGGGCCTCCCCCGGAAAAAGTGGCGAATCCGCCCCGCACACGGTTAAAGCCCCGCGGCCCCCCGGCTCGGCTGGCGGCGAGCGGGGGAGACCCGGGCACGGTCCTTCCCCGCCCCGGCGGGGAGGGAGGGAGGAGGCAGCAGGCAGGGAGGGAGGGGGCGGGCAGCCGCCTGCCGGTGCCTCTCGCCCCGCCGCCGTGCATGTCGCCTCGGCGGCTCTCGCATCGCTTCGTTTTACCTTCCTCATTCAGCGGCGGCAGCGGGCTGCCACCGATATTCCTAACGCAAACCTGCTGCCGTGCGGCGCCCGGGATTAACGCGACTGCCTCCTTCTCCCCTGCCTCCAACCCTTCCTTCCCCGTCCTCCTCCTCCTCCTCCTCGCAAACCCACACTGGATCGGCTGTCCTCACATCCATGCAAGTTTCATACATTGCAAATAAACCCGAGAGGAGGAAGAGCGAAGCGCCTGGCGGGGAGCGGGGGGAGGAGGAGGAGGAGGGCTGCTTTCTGTAATTTACCAGCGACCCGATCTCGCAGCAGCAAATAACAGCCGAGCACCCATCCGGCTCCCGGCGGCCGAGAGAGACCCCCCCGAGGCAGCCGCCCCCTCCCCAAGGCGCCCCTCGCCAAGTTTTCTGTCATCGCGACCACCCAATGTCACAACTTACCTTCAGAAATAGGACTTCGCGCGGCCGAGGCCTGCCGCCACCTCCCCCCGGCCCCCGCCCGCCTTCCTCCCTCCCTCCCTTCCTCCCTCTCCACCTTAAACTTATTGACACAACATAATCCCGCATCCACGCGAAACTCCGGCAGGGCCGCCCGCCCGCCCGCCCCCCCCCGCTGCCCACCGGGGCCGCCGCCGCCCCGGGTGCATCGCCGATGACTACCGGAAAACGCACAGCCCAACTCTCCGGCCGAGCCCGGCCGCCGCTGTTGTTGTCGGGGTCGGCGCCGGGGTTTTTCCTCCGGCTCCCCGTACGGCCGCTGGATCGGCTGCTTCCCCCTCTCCGGTTTTATATTCCCCCCGCCCTTTCTCCCGGCGGCGCGGAGCCCCCCAGGCCGGCGGCAGCCGATACCGATCCGCGCACTCTCCCCCGCGCCTCGCCGCCCCTCGGGATGAAGTTTCGTTTCTGTCTGCCGCGATTTCCCTGTCAAGTCCCCCCGGAGAAACGCACCGAGCGGCGGCCGGTGGCCATCCCTCCTCCTCCTCGCCCTCCTTCCCCTTCCTCTCTCCGCCGCTGCTCTTGCCTCTCTCTGTGGCGGCGAGAGGTGCCTGGTTTCAAACGCAGCCTGGCACTGGCTGGCCTACCCCCGCCGCCTCTCGGGCTCAGCTCGCTGGTGTTTTAAATGCCCTGCGCTGTACCGCGATCCACTTGGCCCCCTCCCCGTCACATACCCCCGGTCACCCCTACCCTGCCGGCCGGGCGGAGGGCTGGCGGCACCAACCCACCCGTCCTCCGCTGCCCAAACTTTCAAAACGAAGGCAGGGCTGGCAAGAGGGAGGAAAAGTGACTGGGAGCCGCGGCAGCCGCCGCGCCGGGCAGAGGAAGCTCCGCGCCTCCCTGCCCTCCGCCAGCGCCGCAGGAGGGGTGCGGGGGGCTGCTCCGCCACTGGGGCGCGGAGCGTAAAGCGTGGGGCGAGGGCACCCCTTTCCCTGTCTCTCCCTCCCTGCCGCTGCCCATCTCCACCCGCCCGCCCGGTGCGGGTATGCGGGCGGGGGCACTCACCTCGGCGGGGTGCGCACCGCGCCGCTGGGCCGGACGCGGCTCGCAGCGCAGCCCCTCCGCCTCGGCGCCCGCGGAACGCGGCTCCACACAGAGCCATGCAACCCGGGCAGCGCCACAACACTCCCCGCGATATAAGGCGCCCCGCCATTGGCCAGCGCGCTGAGCGACGGGCCCGCCGGCCACTCAGCGCTGCCGTTACACCCGCGGCCCGCGAGGGAGCCGCCGGCGCACACACTCTCCGCACACACTCACACAAAGATCGCCGCGCTGCCCCTCGCAGGGTTCGCGGAGCCCCCGGCGCCGGTGCCGGAGCGGGGTAGGGAGCGGGGGCCGCCCGGGGCAGCGCGGAGCCGTGGCGGCCACAGCGCCGGCAGCCACTGTCCATTGGCCGCTCGGGCAGCGCCGCGAGAGTAAACTACGTCTGCCCTGGGCAGTGCCGCGGGGTAGCGGGGTGCGGACTCGGCCCGGCCCGGCGCACCCCGAGCAACCTCCCGATAACTTACTCGGCCGAGTTGGGCGAGTTTCATTCAGGGGCCACGGCACGGCGAGGCAGAAGTTGAGGGAGGCAGCAGCGCATCCGCGCAGCCCCTGCTGGGGCAGTAAACACGGGCAGGCACCCCCGCGGCCCGCGGGCGGACGGGCCGGGCCGGCGCTGCCCCCTGACCCGGCGAGGGGATTCAGGCGGCGGCGCCGCGCGGGGACACGGCGGAGCTCCGGGCGGTGCCCCCTGCCGTAGGAATCCTCGCCCAGGCGTGGCGGAGAGGCCCTCACCGGGCCAGCATCGACAGCACGGCCGGCTTAACATCGGCTTCCCATAGAGATCGCTCTGTTGGCAGAACTGGCCGAGTATAACGCCGGGGTCCGCGCCACGCTCCGTGTCCTGCCCGGTCCTCTGCCCTGCACTCGCGGACCGTACCTAACACATGGATGTGAAATTCATTTGAGAATTTCTGTGCCTGACGGGCTGATACGCACAAAGCGACAGTGTGAGGCCAGCAGCTTTTGTGTGGCTGCATGGCGATTGCGCTGATGGGTGTTGGAAGTGTAGTCCAACTTTCTGGGAGAAGCTCCCTACCACTACAGAAATGAAACACAGTGTGGAAGCATACTGCGTACACTGACCCTGTGTGTTAAAAGTTCGCGAGGGCTTGAATATATGCAGCATGAGACCCTCATGTTTTTTACGCAGAAGACACATGGCATTTATTCTTAGAGTTAGGAAGAACTAATTTTCTTGTGTGGCTCTGTCTCTAGGCAGGATGCTGACTTCCAGTCAGTAATTGTGATATTAAAAAAAATAGTTCTAATAAGAAAAAATAGTTAATTTTATTTAATAATAAATTAAGAAATAATAGTTTATTTAATAATAAATTAAGAAATAATAGTTATAATAACAACGAAGATGTAGTCTCTTTTTTTCCAATAGGAGAGCAATGTTTGTGTTTCATTTTGACTTTATACATCCAAGGATGTTGCAGAGTTTATTCCATATGTTCTCAGTCCTGAGCTTTTTTCCAATGTAATATGGTTAATTTCAGCATCTTTCCATGGCTTGTCTACTCTTCTGTCATTCCCCAACCCCTTTTCTCAGTATGGCAGAATTATGTTAAATAACCGTGAAATAATATTTCTTATGTCTGAATAATGCAGTGCAGTAAAGTATAAGCTCATATTAGAAAACTAAATTGTATCCATGTTTCTGAGAAAGCATTTTAAATTAGCCTGCACATTTTTTCTTAAGATGTGACAAAAGTATTGTAGATGCCCCACCCTCTTGTTTGTTGTAAGCAGGGGTGTGTTTGTCAGTGCCTGAATAATATAAAAATAACAGCATAAACATATTCTTGCAATGAATGCATTCTACTTCAGTATTTCATTTTCATAGCTAAGAAGGCAGAGCTGACCATCTCTCCACTGGAAGTCAGGTGCATGTCAGGTGTCAGAGGCTGGGACACTGGCAAGTGAAGGCACACACATTTTATTAGTCACATATATAAAGGTTGGCCTAATTTTTAGGCAGAGCTTCCTCCTATCATTTCCAGATTGTGCAGTGCTTTGCAGTAGTGGGTAAGCAGCATCTTTTCAGTATGCATAAACAGTTGCTGGCAAGAGTAAGAGGCCTAATCCAGACAGTTAAAATTTCCATGGTGTAGTTTCTTACATGTCAGTATTAGTGCTATTAGTGTCCTGGATTCTTTTACCCATATTAATAACACCACACCATGGAGCCTCTCATACCTCTTCATTGCTAAAATCCTGTCAAAGCAGGTAATTACTGAGCAATATAAGTGATGTAGGCACTTCACAGTATACATGAACCTCATTTTAAAGATTGTTTTATTTTGTTGTTAACAGATGTCTCTATTACACTTGATACCTTTTCTGGCCCTTTCAGAAAAGAGGCCAAGATAAGGACACCTTGCATGTAATGTAGTTTTTTACAGCTGTACAAAATGGATATAATATACAATGCTCCTAAGTAGAACAATTGTGTTTTGTGTCTGCTTCATACAGTTACAAATGTCTTGTGAGATAGTTGCAAGGCAGGCCACCTATTAGGTCCATAGAAGCACAAGGATTTTTTCACCCTCTAAGAGAGGTGAGTAAGCTGAGGTATGCTAGTATGTTCAGAAAACAGAATGTTTGCATTTCCACTGCCTTTGATTTATTCTGTCCATAGTGAAAGAGAGAACTGTATTCTCTTGGGTTGTCAATACAGGATCTTTTGCCAGCACTGAAGTCATGAAGAGGAGAGAGGGAGAGGATAGTAAATATTTCTGGGTTTCTATTTTTTTGTATATGATTTCAAGCAAATTAATCTCTTTTTATGCCCACTTGGAGATATTTCTGGCTTTCATCAGCCACTGTTATCAAGAGTTTTGAGGTGTTAGCAAGTGTCTCTGAGGAATTTTTCAAGGGACAGCAAGACAGCAAGTGCTGAAATTTTTTTAGTTGCTTGCTGATTAGTATTTTAGAACTCCACACAAGTTGCATTTCTAGATTTTTCTGCAAAAACTTGTGTCATCAGATGGGACTTTTCTGCCACTTGTGTGTAACTGGTATTAGTTTTTGAGAGTGATGCCCTGACCCTACCTTGTGGCAGGCTCACATGGGCTGCTGTGCACAGCCAGCCTGCACTAAAGTCGGTGCAGTTCAGCTCAGATTAAGCATTTGCTCTGTTGCCTGCACAGTGGGATTTGGGGCTTCCAAGTTGCACGTCCATGGAATTTGTGTGAGTTCATCTGGGCTTGCCTGCTTTGCACTCAACTGGTGGCAGAGTATCTCCCTCTCAACTGCATGTCCCCTCCTAATTAACCCATGGCACAACATGAAAGACGTGTCTGTGATCTGTCAAGAGAGAAAAAATAT